TGCCTTATCTTTCTCTTTTGGGAAGGTCGTTTGAGCAGTTAAGGTGATGAACGCCAGAAAGAGAGCTGGGTTTTATTCCAGTTCAGTAGTAATAAGAAATTTATTTATAATTGAAGTTTCTAGATATTTTGGACATTGGAGGTGGCATTTTTTATTTTATTAAATTGCCCTGTCTGTCTTTTTTTTTTTTTCCTTAATATCCAGGTATCCACGTTACAGTGACTAAATCCTGGAGTCTACATCTTGGTCCCTCAAGCTGCCCTGTCTGTCTTGTTTTGGTAAAGGAAAGGTTCCATACAAAGTTCTGAAATTCTTCCAAAAAAAAAAAAAAAAAAATGGTTGAACTCCAACTTTAAGGGCCCCCACGACCCCGCTTCTGAAGCTTTGTGAGATAGGTAAATCGTGAGATGTGCCCCAACAGGCCAAAGAACAAGAGTTACTTGTTCACTACGCCTACAAGGGGTTCAATTCCATGTCTCAGAAATCGAACCTCCACACTGCGATTGCCAACAAGGCGTGAGATAACCTCACTCTTGTCTTTTGCACTATTAGACTATATCTTGGGGGGCAAGTTCTGGAATTCTTGCTATGGTGACATAGTGGTACGGTGGAGTGGGGATAGACATGTGGGGTGACCTACCATGGTCGTAGAGTGGCTTTGGTTTTGAATAGAGAATACGAGAAATTTAGTCCTTGTTTGACAGTCAGTTTTTTGAAAGAATGAGTTTTTGAACAGTAAATTTTTAAATAACATGTGATTAAAAACTAAAAATAAATAAATTTGAGTTTATGTGAATAATATTTTATTATAAAAATGTATAGTTGAAAATGATTACGAAAAAATAAAAGTTTTGAAAGAATGGTTGTAACGAAATAATAGTTAAAATCTTATTTTTTAATTACATATTCTCTATTAAAATATTATTTCAAAATGTATTTTAGATAAAAAAAAAAAACACAAATAAAAAATAATAGGATCAGAAGGCTCTTAAGTGGAGGAGGGGTGAGACCCACTTACTACAACAATTGGGGTATGACATCAGTGATCATTACCTGATGTCATCATTACCGTTACCTGCAGACAATCATGACTAAGGTTTTAGGAGCCGAAGGTTGACTTTTTTTTTTCTTTGCCACTTGCTTGAATAGAGCATGGTTTTTAAATAGCGTACGATTTATTATGTCGCATTATTGAAATTTACAATTAATTTACATAATAATTTTTTGTTATTAAATAATAAGTTCAATTAAAATAGATCTTTTCCGGATTTAGTATAAATTAAAAAGTTATAGTAAAGTCAACAATTAATTTCAATTACATATTTTAATTAATTCACAATTTTTATCAACTTTTCAATCACACTTTTCATTAACTTTTCTCAAAACTACAATAAGTCATAAAAAGCTATTTAAATATAAGTATTTGAAATAGAAAAACTGAGCAATCAAAATTACCCTCTTTTTAATGTCACAAAGCACAAAGTGTCCAATTTTAATAAACTTTACAGAAAAAGAAAACGCCCTATTGTTCAAAAATTAGTGAGAGTAGATACATTCCTCTAGTAACCAATTCGCAGACATGATAGTTCAATCCAAAGATATGTAAAGATGACACAACCTCGTCAAAATTTCTAGGTAAAGTTATAATTAGAAGTGCATCGTTCTAAAGAATTAACCTTCTTTTAACAGTAAATAAATAAATTTCTTTGTCGTCAAAATTTCTAGGTAAAGTTATATTTTAAATTGCATCGTTCGTAAGAATTAACCTCTCTTTGACAAGAAAAAAAAATTAATTTAAAAAAAAAACGCAGACTCAAAATTTAGTTGATATACCTAGTTGTACATTGAAGATACATTATTGAAGAGGTTCAAGTGCATCTCGAGTTGGAAGATAACCTTTTAATTCTTATATTTACATGTGTTATATTTATATGTAGTTCGCTTTCAATTATATGTCCTTATCAACACGTCAATTGTTACGTGTCTCTTTTTATTTCATCGAAATGAGGAAGATTTCAATTAGAAAAATAAAAGTAAGGAAGACAAAACCTTCATCCACCATATTTTATTAAAAAATAAAATAATATTTAATATCTTTCATGTTAATGCAGGACAACCCAGCAAATGGAGAAAAGGAAGAATATCTTATGCCAAGTTGCATTACTTTAATAAATTATAATTATAATACTAAATTTGCATAAACAAAGGCCACAGCCCACAGACTTTTTGGATTCGTATATGGATAATTAATAATTTATTGAATTTAATAATTTGAAAATGAACCTTCTTGTGATGTTCTAGAAAATACTAGAGTGACTAATTTATTTTAGCATTAATTTGTTCTTATTATCAACCATAGGTGTCGTGAGATGAGTGGTCATATAAATTAATTCCATGAAGGAAAATGTTTCCATGCTAGAAGACATTTATCATTCATAACTTTGAATGAAGAAATAGATAACATGTAAAAGAAGAGGAGATAAGTCGGGTGCTTGACTGCTTGTGATAGGATGGTATTGTATTCTTGTGAAATATAATAACTTTTATAAGATTTATAAAAAAATATTTCTAATCCATCTTTGAAATTTGACGAACTAAGTTGCTTATAACATAATTTTCTTGATATTTTCACCTACTCTGAATATTAAATTATCAAAATTTAAATCTTCAATAGAAATGTAGATTACATCAAGTGTGGCTCATCCCCCTAAAATATTTGAAAAGCCCCTATCCCGGCTTGGGGACAGGATTGAAAACAGGGGCGCCACATGGTGCCCTTGTCCCCAAGCCAGGACAGGGAGCAGAGTTGAAAATATTTACATGACAAGGAAAATGTGTATGATGTTTAACACACAATCCATTTAAAGAAGTTGAGCTAGAGACGTCATCCATTTAATTTATACAGTTAAAATTTTTCAAATTTAACGATGTGCTAGACGTCACCCTAAAAATTGATAAAATTTAAATGTCAAAATCAATAATTAATTTTTCTCACATTTTCAAGGGATCGATAACTTGTAAACCACTGCATCAACTTTAATCAAAATCTACTAAGATTTTGATTTTAATTTAAACTTTATGGAGAATATTATACAAAGAATTAAGATTAGTTTTAGTTAAAAAAAAAAATAGTCATTTATAAATTTGACCAACAAATACATTATTGATCTAAAAACTCTACTTTTTGCATATATTTAAAGCTTTAGCCAAATATGCACACGAAAATAATTTGTCATTATTGTTTCAGCCTTTAAAGTTTAAGGTGAGTCATGAGTAACGTTAGTGATGTTACATACCGTTGAGATCACACCCACGTAAGTCTCGGTCAACAACGTATCACCCCATTGAGATCAA